ACATAAGCAAAAAAAAAGAGCTACGTTAGGAGGATTTTTTCTAAGGGAAAAGTTTATATAAGGTGGCAACCTTAAAATGTAGAATCACAGATGCACCTCCAAAATTTATCGAAAATATTGTTTTAATATTAAAAAAATATCTAATCGATCATCTTGACATTGAGATGTATAAATATGAAAAAAAAAAGAAAGATTGAGTCTCAAAAATAGTGCATCTTGCAACACATTATCTAGACCGTCCATTTTCAAGATTTTCATATATTTATAGGCTTACTTGATTTTAACCATTTTTGGAATTTAAAATTTTTTAATTAGGTATGAAAATAGATTTTAAGAAAATACTATGAATTTTTTATAACAAAATTACATGTTATAATAAAATTTTAAGGTGCATCTTAAACAGTCTTGTTTAAGGTTGCAACGTTATAAAAACCACACCTTTTTTCTAATATGAAATTTTAGGATTCCACTAAATAATCAATTATTTTTTGAAAGAAAGAAAAAAAAAAAAAGGAATTGTGAGTGCTTCAACACTCAGATCACGCTTTCCAAAGATTGGACAGCCATTGTCGATTTTGGAACTATACTTTTTTCAAGCACATAAAGTGTGAGATTTTATTTATTTAGTCATTTTTCAATATTCGTCTCTAGGTTCAAAAGGTTACATCCCTAAGTTTGAGCCCAAACGGGTCCAAATCGATCCCCAAACCTTGTCGGGTCAGGTCGCGACTTAACTGACCTATTTACACTCATAGGCGTAGGAAAAATCAGGCTGTTAGATTGGAACCGGCCACTGGCCGGTTTTGATTTCGGCCGATTTTGGTAAACCAATCAAGTATTTAAAAAAATATATATATAAAATTCCAAAAAAAAAGAATTTTATTTGTAATATATTTTTTAATGCTTTTCATCATTTTAGCAAAGATTGAAAATTGTTTTTTCTATTAATGTTATTTTTATATTTTCTCATCTTTTTTAAAAAAATTTAAAAATATCTCTAGACACAAATCAATTCTTTGGAATTCATTTTTTTCATTAATTTTTAACTTCATTCAGATGTGGTTCATTCGATCATGCTTTAAATATGCTTATCATATTTTATTACTTTATTTTGTATTTTTTTTATTTTTGAACATTTTTTATTATCCGGGACTTGCCCGAGTTGAATCGTTTCCGACCCGTTAACTGTTCCCATTCAATTTTTCCTACAGTCTTCATATGCATATTATGTATTTAATTGTTGAGCAACTTATATGTGTGCACGTCATATGAGAGAGAGCGAGAGATCCGATCCTTTATAGTTGGTAAAACAATAGTAAAACCTTTTTTGCTGTCATCTTTCTTGTCAAAATCTGCAAAGCTTGTTGTTACACCTCCCTACACCACAAGGGCATAATTTCCCCTATTAAAAGAGGTATCCTAAGCTATTTTGGTTGAAATTCGGACATGTAGGCTTGTCACGCTAGAGAAAAAAGTATGGAAGATACTCAAATAGGCTTTTCTCTTAGTTCTCTCCTATAATTCTTGGCTTGTCACTCTTTTTTTTCCAAGTTTTGATTTAATGGCACGGTTTTTTAGAGTAAAAATATTTTGAAATAATTCCTTATGCGGTAATTGTGAAAATATTTTCACAACAATTAATTTTAATGTATCTTTTCACACCAATTAATAATTAATTGGTGTGAAAATATTCCTACAACTAACCACATAAGAGAACTTTATCATGTGAAAATTGAAATATTTTCACAAGGACCAAATGTTGAAAAGGCCTATACCCCCTTCCCCAACCCCTGTTCCTATAAAAAGCCCTTGGAATCTCCTAGTTAACCAAAAACAGAAATTTAACTCCCTCCTTACCTTTTTTCATTGTCCAAATAAGGAGAAGTAAACAAAAAAAAAATGACAGCTTCAAACGTGGTAGAGAATTCAAATTAATGATTCAAAACTTGGCATTTGAACTTAAACTTGTCTAAGTCACTCTGACATAGCGAGATATCCCGTTCAAAAATTCTTAGGCTCATTGGAGTCTCACTAGATCAGGGCCCCACTTTTATTATTTTTATAGAGACTCGACCAAGTCTTGGTGAGACTACAAAGACCTTGTTTGATAGATTTTTATTATTTCACCAAAAACCCTTGAGAATACTTGGGATTTTGGGATTTTGACAATTACTTTCCCCAATTCGATAACTTAGTTTAGAAAATTGGAGCAGTCAAATTCCCTTGTTTGATAACATGATTGGAAAATTGGTATAGTCAGTTTCATATAGGGAACTATCAGTTTTAAATGTTGTAAATTGATCACAATAAACTCTAGCAGAAAGAGAGAGTTTGCGAGGAGAAGCTCCTAGAAAAAAGAGTTTAAAAGAGCGAAAGCCTCTTGAAAGAGAGAGAAAATCTTAAAAAGAAAAATGTAGGGTTTACTGGAGATATATTAGACACCAAAGAGGCAGGGGGGTGAAAGTTGATCGACTGTTGAAAAGGTAGGAAAATCACAAATTCTCCCGTAAAAATAGAAAGGTTGTTTTGCGAAATAAATTAGCAGCATTTCATGGAAAAACGGCTTAATACCCCGCAAGGTATCGCTTTTGGAAAGAGATTTCTCATGAATTGAAGATTGGTACACTTTCTAGGAGGTGACACACCTTTTGTGCCTTCCCTTAAGGTCATTGTGCCAACGATTTTAAGTCACCTATGCACAAACTACTGTGCATAATACAAGTTACTTATGATATTTCTTACATGGTTTAGGCTCCATTTGGGAAAGTATAGGTTAAATGAGGTTATGGAGTCTTTTTTTTGGGTAATTCAATAGGGATAACTAGCTTTATTTATTTTTTAAATAATTAATATTTTTTTTTAAATCGTTATTAGTAATAGAAACCACAACGTACGACTGAAAACTATCCCTACGACATGAACTCCTTTCTCAAAAAATCACTAGCGTGCCAAGTAGGGAGGTAATGGATTAGCCCTAGCACTTATAGCCCCTTTCCAATAGAATGCAAAATGCTGCTTAGCTCCTTTCCAATAGAATGCATTTTGCATGAAACGCAAACGTAAATGGGGCAAAATACAAATCTTTACAAAGTAGAGCGATGATTACCAACACAAAAAATCAAAGTAAACCGCGCCTCTAAGTGCTACAAAAGATGTAACTTTGATATCGAAAACTTTATGATAGCTTGAGAATGTGTTTTCATCCTAATTATGAAATTTAAAATTATAAAAATGATGTAGACTGAACAGATCTATAAGCACTTCAAATCTTGAAAATGGACGGTCCACGCAATGTGTTACAAGATGTGTTATTTTTAAGACTTCAAAGCTTTTTCTTTCATGTATATATATATATATATATATATATATATATTAATGTTGAGATGATCAATTGGAGAGTTTTCCATCAGAATACCATTTTTTGAAACATTTCGAGGGTATTTTGATCAATTTATATTTTACAAATTATTTTTTTTATATTTTTATCAAGTTTGCCTTGATGAAAAGAATAAACGTCTAAAATTTCAAATGATTTGGATTTGTAGAAAAAAATAAAAATTCAAATACGAAATGAGATTGTAACCGTCAGATCAGCCCAGATTGAATCTGGGCCATTGGATGAGACTGTAGCAGCCAGCCCATGGGCTGCCAGAGTCGACTATATATATATGAAAAAGCTTGGGTGAGCCCACTAACTCACAGGAAAAAATGGCCCGATTTGACGATCATAGATGCCCGGTAGTGTTTGAATTTTAAATTTTTTTTTAGAAATTCAAATCACTTGAAATTTTAGGTATGTATTCTTATCATCAAGCTGCACCTAATAAATATATATATAAAAAATTATTCATAAAAAAATTGACCAAATTGGCCCTTAAACTTTTCGAGGGTATTTTGATCAATTTATTTCATGTAAAATATTTTTTTGATATCTTTCGAAGATTTACCTATTTTTTATGTACACACGCTCCACATTTCAACTGATTTGGATTTGTAGAAAAAATTAAAATTTAAACACTGCCGGACATCAGTGATCGTTAGATCGACCAAAATTCAATCTAAGTCGTTGAGCTCATTTTTTTTTATGAGCTAGTGGGCTCACCCAAGCTTTTTCCACATGGAAGTAGATTCTATACACCCACTAACTGACCGCTACAGTAAACACCAATGGCCCAGATTGAATGTAGGCCAATCTGACGGTCACGACTTCTTTTCATGTTTGAATTTTAATTTTTTTTTATATAAATCCAAATCACTTAAGATTTTAGCTATATATTCTTCTCATCAAGGTGCACCTAATAAAAATATAAAAACAATAATCCGTAAAAAATAAATTGACCAAAATACCTTTGAATCTTTATAGGGTTATTTTGGTCAATTATTTCATATAAAATATTTTTTTTTATATTTTTCAAAGATTCACCTATTTTTTATGTACACACACGCTAAATTTCAGATCAATCCGATTCGCAGGAAAAAAATTAAAATTCAAACACTACCGGATATTTGGGATTGTCAGCAGTTGGCGTTTACTGGAGCAGTACGCCCTTAGGCTGACATGATATTTTTCATATATATATATATATATATATATATATATATATATTATAT